AGACATTGATGAAGATGATGTGGTGCTGCTGGTGAAGTTCAGAAGTATCTGGTCTGCCCTGGCACTCCAAGAAGGCTTGACTTTGAAAAGGCTTGGGTAAGTTGACTGTGTCAAATTGAGATGCATCCTTGGCATAGGCCATGGATTCACATGCAGGTTCCTTCCATAAATCTTTTCCAGATCATTGTGGAAGTTGTCAATGTGCACAGGACTGGAATAGAATTTCACCCCATCCTCACAATGGCATTTATGTGCATGGACAGTGAGGTGGTCCAGGGGCCACAGAATCCCAGTGGGCAGGTCAAATAGGATGCACAGGTGTTGGAGAATGCTGGTGGGCACCAAGACAGTGTAGGTGAAGTTGTGCTTGTTGTGGTGGGTGATGGCATTGAGAAGGTGCTTGTAGGCCAGCAAGATGTTGACTTGGCTCATCATGTGTCCATACCGTCCACCATCATGGGTCACAGTGAGGAAGCGTTGCCAGGTGCAATCCCAAGATGGCTCTGGTGTCCATTGGGGGTCACACACTGTGTCTTGCGGGGTTGCACTTTCCTGTTCAATCACCAATGGATTCTGATGTGGTTGTTTTGCATTGCCCAAAATGTGCACACTCAAATAGAGCACTGCCAGCATGGTGGGGATGAGGAGCAACAAGAACAGCACCAACATGCTCAGTTGTGGACTCATTTTTGCTGCATGTATTAGTTTAACTGTTCTCATAACATGAGTATGAAATGCACTGTGTATTTTTTGTATATATATGCAACAGATATGAAGTGTCCAGCCCACCCTACAATAAGCAGATAATTGATCAGTCAAGGGTGTCCAACTCCAAACTGCAATAAGCAACACAATCACTCCTTATTCCCATCTGCATGTATGCAGATGAGGTACACTTTTCCAGGATGATACCCTACTGAATTGCACTTTCCAGCTCAGCCTAATTCAATTTCTCAGCTTATCACACCGAAATTCAATTTCTTCTCTTATCTTGAGTGAGGTGAGAACTATATATCCCAGACACACATAAACTTGTATACCTTTTTTATTTTACCATCTCCAGCATGAACCCTTGCAAGCTCATTCCATCCATAAACAAACAAAAGCAGCTGGAAAGTGATGTACCTAGACTTTTGAGCACTCCTGGGCAAATTTTTACAAGTTTGATTTGAATTGTATGCTACTTTGCACTCATTCAAATTTGCTTACAACATGCGCTTTCAAGCTTGAGTCATCATCATTCATCCAGGAAACGATATCTTTTTTCAGTGATAAAATGAATTTGATTGGGTAAATTATGTGCAAAGCTAATTTAACATTAGAATTTTCTTTGAACATTAAAATTCAGGCAAATGATGCCAAAGAAATTTCTATGGTGCAAAAGTATGGAACACTTTAAAATTGCACCAGTTTAACTTTTGAGTCTTCACTCGTAACGCAGAATTAATATTGACATATGTTCATCATCATACATGTATATACAGTATAGTTGTACATGTGGGAAACATCACTGATGAAGTTGCGAAGTTTTTTGTTTTTGTTTCTAACTTTTCTGGTGCAAAGCGCAGGGATCTGAGATGCAACTGAAATGTCAGGAAAGGAGCGCAATTTTTTTCAACAAGAATGTTTCCAAAATATATAAAAAATGAGCAAATTCAATGTATTAGGACAAGAACTTCTGCTGCTGGCATGGTTTTTTTGCACATTTGTTTAGAAGAGATTTCAACAAGGAAGCCTGTATACTGTAATCAGTGTACTGTAATGTATATATTTTTAGAAATCTACCCTCATGTAAATCTCACTGTTCCCATTAAATCAATCACCTTTTTTAAATGCCTTTCAAACCATAAGTTACCTGTAACTGTAAAATCATCTCACAGTCATGTTTTTCAATCAATCAAAGGCTAACATGTCTGATGTGGTTAAAATCACAGAAATGATGCAATACAGCACTGTATGCACTATATATATATATATATATATATATATATATATATATATGCAGCAGAAACTTAAAAATGGGATGATTCTTGGTTCCTGGGAATAAAACAATGACGTCATTTTGCATAATCTTCACATAAAAATAAACCTCACATGCAATAATATAAGGCACAATTGTAACCCTGTGAGGGTTGATTGAAGTAAATTATATTAGTTGATGAGTTCCAGAATTTCTGATAGTTGTGAAGAAAACTGTTTGCTCATATGATTGAAACACTGAAAGTTTGAGCATTGAAGTGTAGCAAAAATCTGAAACTTGATTTTGTTTTCTAATTTGAATCATACATGTCATTTACCGCAAATGAAAGCTTCAACATTATCACCATTTGATTGCCAATAAGAAAGTGTCGCATCAAAAAAGCCCAGGGAATCTCCGGAATAAAAAAATACATCCATGTGTTGCCATTATACTGAAATAAACATGAGCATCACCTTGAGGTTGGATGAACAATAAAGAAACATCTTTGGTATGCGTTTTTATTTTTCGATCCCAGAATCGTGTGATACAAATTTATGGTTGAGTGCCAACTGGAATATTTTGTAACATGCTTCAAGTACTGCAAAGCAAATTTTGGTCAAAACTACATGAATGCAGGCATTGTCCAGCTTTTCAGTTCTTGATTTTCAATGACTATCACAGGTAGTGTTACCTCATAATTTCAAGGTTGAACCTCTTCAAAGAAGGCATATATTGTCAAGTATGAGCAAATTCAAACATGTTCTGCTGTCAAAAAATCCAACAGTCATATTCAGTTGATGATGATGTCAAGATAATTTCTACACCACTGTTTTTTCTCCAGGCATCTTTTTAGATATCTTCAAATGAACTGTAATGGTGCTGGTTGAGGGTATCATCTCCACATCCAGGTAAACATCAGTATGTCTTGGGCTCCAAAACTTTGATATAACTTGTTTATGAAGCATTGAATTGTGCATGGTGATCTTGACTTTTGCAAAGGCAAAATAATATGATGTTGATGAATAAAAAATTTAAGTAAAAGAGTTCTTGGTTCCTTTCCAGAAGGATTACTCGCCAAGGATGGACTGTTATCAGGTGACATAACCATTTTCAAGATTCTTTATATTTACATGCTAATGAAAACAAGCAGGAACATGAGTCAACTTTTCAGTAAATTTATTATTAATTTTCATTGAGAAAGGACAGCTTCCTCTCAAATGGGTATGCCTTACAGACTTGCATTGCACAAGTGGAATCTTATACATAAGTAAAAATAAATGGTATATTGTATAGATGGAGTTTTTGTGAGATCAGGGCACCATCAATCAAGTGACTGATGGTACTCTAGTCTAACCAAGGGACTGATGGTACCCAAATCAAGTGCTTGGAAGATGATACTCATGTTTCTGATGGTGCATGTCATCCTGAGGACGTATTTTCAACTTCCTTAGCCAATATAGAGCAAATAGCTTTTGAAGACTAATGGGTAAGATTAAAAAATATAGATTTTAGGGATATACCGTATATAAATGTGCTTACAAGTGAATTATATACCGTATTTACTCAAGTACCATGTGCACCTTTTTTCTCAAATTTCAGAAGAAAAAAAGGGGTGCGCGTCATTAGTGGGTACAAAATTTTCAAGAAGTTTTAGGAAGATGCTTGTTAATTAAACTTGATTATAATGGAGAAATTTGTGACAAATGTACCAAGAAAACATTTTTTACTGAAAAGTTTGAAAATTGATCGGATTCATGGATGTTCAATTCACATCAAAAGTCAAATTTTTTGTTTTTATTTTCGAAATTTTGTGGTTTTAGAGTCCCTAAAAATGGGGTGCGCGTCTTTCTTGGGGATACAATTTTAGCCAAATTTTGAACTGAAAAACCCCTGTGCACGCCTTACTCAACGGCGCGTGGTACTCGAGTAAATACGGTAGCTTAAAACTTTCAGATACCGAATTTTTTTCCTGATATAACTTCAGTTGAATTTTTTTTTCATTTGATGATTGGTACCAAGGAGGTATTTGATAAAGTGAATGTTAGCATGTCTTGAAAGAGTTTCATCAGAATATAGAATCCAGTTAAGACCCCTGATGCATAGATGTCACCTGTGCATAGATGCATGACACACTCAACCTTCACATCCATGTATATAAGCTCACATACTAACTTGTCTATATTTCAGAGTTTTGAGTATTTTTTTTAAGGTAGGAACTCAGGTTTCCACAGACTTGTCCATTTCAAAAGCGAAACTCGTCATCATCAACCAACTTATCAATGGCAGCAAAACCAGGGGTTGTTGGCTTGGGTGGAGAAGCGTGAGGCCTGGGTTGTTCCTGATGATACACTGGTGCTGATTGCTGCTCTGTGGGCGTGAAATTTTCAAAGTGCTTCTTCTTTTTCTGGTGGACCCCAGGTGCAGTGAAATCAGGGGGACCCATGTTTTTTGCCCTGTTGTGTGACACAATAGGGTCTTGGTCATCCTGATGAGGCTTTGGCTTGCAGCAACATGGGCAACAAACAGTGCCTTCTTTGCAGATCTCAATGTCACTTCGGCAGGATAAAACAACAATGGCAATCAGCACTAGAATCCCTGCTAGACCACCCCACAGTTTCAGTTGATCCATTCTGAAATAAAAAAAGAAATATGGTTGCATATTAATCATCTGGACGGTTGGATACAGTGCAGCACTTGAGTAACCCATTAACTGCCAAATTTCATACACACCCATTTTTGCATTATTTCACTTTATTCGCATTCAGATAGGCTGGGGACATTTTTTTCAAAATTTTAAATTCAAAATGTTTGTCAAATATTTGAATTTTAAACTGGATCCCCAAATGGGGCTCATGGCAAGTACCACCTTCTCTTTTACCATTAAAAAAGTCTTCTATACATTGAAAAACATATTTTTTTGAACTTGTTTTCCTAAATTGTATTATTGTAAGCTAAATGTGAGTGCAAACATATCTTCTGACTCATTTGATATGCTAGAATGCCACTAGGCATGAAATGCATAAATATCTTTTTATGATTTTCCAAACATTTCTGAAATTTTTTTTTAAAACTAAAAGCCCCAATATCAAACAGAATAATTCACATAATGGAAATTGAAAAAAACAAAAAGATTTTCTCATTTGTGGCCCTGACATAAGGAGAATGTTTCAAGATAAATGGATGCTCTGCCAAAATTTCCGGATCAATAAATGCAATCACATCAGTACTAAAAATTTGAAATCTTTAGAAAAAATAGCTGAAGTACCACAATTTCGTTTGAAGTGAAAATAAATCCTTTCACGGATTTATGAAAAACATGCAATGAGCCCTTGTTTTTAGGGTTTTATTTTACAGCAACAACGTATAGTACTGTATATCAGTACAGTACATGCATGTGATGGGTTTTCTTTACCTTTTGGACTCTTTTCAATGCCAAAAGGGAAAAACTGCGTAATTTTTTTCAGCACAGCTATTTTCTGCAACTTGAAGTTAAAAAAACACCTGGCTTTCTGGAAACTTCTTCAATTTTTTTGCCAAACATGAGAAGTGATTCACTATTTTACTTTTGAGCTGGTCTATAATAAACTATGATCAAACATGCGGACAATTCAACAAATGGACACAGTCTGAAGAGTGTTTATGTCCACATCTCAAGACCTATCAGTAAATGCATAAATTTATTATGGTGACCATGTTAATATAGACAAATAAGACAGCAGTTCCTTGAACTTGTTATTTTCTTTGCATTATTGTTTCTCCTGCAATCATGTATAACATATGTAGTGTAGTTCTATTGTGACAGAAATACCATCATGAAGAAAGGTTTAGTTTATAATATAATGTAAGTTTAAGATATTTTTCACCAAATCCTTATCTATTTATAATTTATTATTTTACAGGTGCTCCATTATCAAGGAGTTTTGTTGATATTGATGCAGACCATCACAGATTTAGTTTGACATCAATTTTAAAATGCTTCAAAAGAAACTAATTTGAGAGCAGGTGGCAAAGATTTTCTCTCAATTTACCCATACCTCATTTTATCTGCACTGACTTCAGATCTTACATGAAATTCCTCTTCAATTTAGATACATAAGGAATTTTACATCTGTAATTGACATTTATATACATGCTTGTTGTGACTGAAATGGCACAAAAAGGCAGAATTTCAGAAATGAAACACCAGAATCAGCTGTGGGTTTCAGCTGGGGATCTCTTTTACGAGATCCCAAAGAAAAAAGATAAACATGTATTTCAAACCATAACCCCAAGATTAATTGATCACACGCACAATAAAAATCACACAGAAAATCAGAGTGATTAAAATTGATTTGATAATGGTTTGTTCCAGACTGTCTCAGGAATAATGAATATTGAAAAATGTTGGAAGAATGACCTTCTATGGTTCTTTGTTCTCTTATTCCCTTCCAGGAATCAGCAGAAAACAGGAGTGAAGTCTCAAATGTTCTAGATGAATCAAAATAAATCTTTAGACAAAATTTTTTTGTATGGCGCACATAGGTTTGCAGTACTTTAATGTACCAAATTATTCTGCAACAAAATAGCTGATTCTGGTGTTTCATTTCCAAGATTCCATCTTTTTGTGCCATTTCAGCCACACTTGTGGACCATTCCATGCAAAATCATTATTTTCATTATTATACAGATATTAATAATATATTATTATTATCATCATAGCTATTACAATAATATAATTATTTGCACATGCTCATCAGGAATAATTCTGATTTTATGTGAGTCAAAGTGAATTTGAAATTGGCAGAAACGTCTTCTCTTACACTGCCTCGTTGGTCTTCTTCGGAGTGCAGCAAGATGGTTGTCCATTCTCAAAGCAACAGTTGGCATCCTTTCCGCAGTCGTACAAGTTGTTGGGGTCATTGGCGCTCCTCGTCTCATCCACCAAACACTGCTTTGCATCTTTCGGGTTGGAGTGCAGCAAGATGGTTGTCCATTCTCAAAGCAACAGTTGGCATCCTTTCCGCAGTCGTACAAGTTGTTGGGGTCATTGGCGCTCCTCGTCTCATCCACCAAACACTGCTTTGCATCTTTCGGGTTATAAATATAAAATCACGTTCAAAAATCACATTGTAGAGGTAAAACAAAACTTTCGAAATGCGTGTAATAAATTTACTCACCAGATATATGAGCAGTGAAGGCAGAGATGAGGAACAGCACCGCAAAAATCGCGCCACGACACTCCATGATCATCTTATTCATCCGAGTTTACAATCTTACACAGAGAGAGAGAGAGGCTTTAATAAAGATGGGATATACCACGCGTAGGATGAGAGAATGAAATCGAGTATCCGGCCTTCTTGCAGCAGTGTTCCATCAGGAGGAATACATAATGACGCACCTTCGGCTGGTCAAGTTGTGTCTTCTTGGGTCACACACATGCGTCGGCAAGGGCAACGCCAAACAAAGCAAGACAGGTGGTTGTATAATGTGGGAGTGCGCTCCTTATTCTGTTCATTGGGTCCCTTTATTCAGTCACAGCGTTCATACCCAAAGTTTATGATTACAAGTAAAAATTTCCTCATAACAATCTTGTGGGGACTTCAGAAAAAAAAGGTTGAATGAATTATTTTTTATGCTGTAACAAGATTGTCAAAATTAGGAGTGTGCTCCTTATTCTGTTCATTGGGTCCCTTTATTCAGTCACAGCGTTCATACCCAAAGTTTATGATTACAAGTAAAAATTTCCTCATAACAAACTTGTGGGGACTTCAGAAAAAGTATGTTTGAATGAATTATTTGTTATGCTGTAAGAAGATTGTCAAAATTAGGAGTGTGCTCCTTATTCTGTTCATTGGGTCCTTTATTCAGTCACAGCGTTCATACCCAAAGTTTATGATTACAAGTAAAAATAACATAACACAAGTTCTTAACACACTTGTGGGGACTTCAGAAAAAAAAATATTGTACTGAATTATTTGTTATGCTGTAAGAAGATTGTCAAAATTAGGAGTGTGCTCCTTATTCTGTGCATTGGGTCCCTTTATTCCTACACAGCGTTCACTCCAAAAGTTCATGATTATACAAGTAAAAATTTCCTTATAACAAACTTGTGATGGGAACTTCAGAAAAAGTTTGTTAAAATGAATGAATGTATTTGTTATGCTGTAACATGATTTTCGAAATTAGGAGTGTGCTCCTTATTCTATTCATTGGGTCCCTTTATTCCTTCACAGCGTTCATTCCTAAATTTTATGAAAAAAGTAAAAAAAATCTCTTTATAACAAACTTGTGGGGACTTTGGAAGAAGTTTGTTATGACGAATAATTTGTTATACTGTAACAAGATTTTCAAAATCATTCACTGTAACAGATATTTCAAATTCACCCTGCAAATATTCATAATCTTAGCTTTTTGGAATTTTCAAATGTGTACAACAGAATTTGAGAGAGCTTGAGAATGTCTCACGTACTCCTTTTAAAATGAGATCTGCTGGATTAATTTTATGTGGCCCCCACTCTTCCTAACTCAAGAAAACTTCTTGAAATATAGATCTTCAAGTAAGCTTGGAAGAATCCTTGCTCTTCATTCCACCTTCCCATTAAGTCCAAAAAAAAAAAGCAGCAGTCAAGTCACATTTTGAATGGGATAGTTATGGGAAATTCACTTATTGCATTGATATGCTGTTCATGTTTTCCCGTCTTTAAACCTCACGCATAAAAGTAAGGTGATTTTATTCCATCAACATATATTATATACCAAGAAGTTTTGTATGAACCCCACGATGTTGAAAGCAGGGTAAATGTGCGAAATTTTTACAGGTCTTGGGTTTGGGAGGGTGTACCTGGCAGTAACCCAGGGATACCAACTGCTTGTAACCAAGCCAAACTTTCCACGTATATGCTGTGATCCATAAGTTATTCTTTTAGGGAATGCTTCTTTTATTATCACAGCATTTGGATTATTCTGGAAATAAGGGTTCGGATTTATTTTTTTGTATGCCTTTCGGAATTTTCTTTTCACTCATGGATTGTTTAATACCACTTTTCTGATTTATATTTATAATATAGGAGTTTGACAAGGCATTGCTTGCGTGAATATGCAACAAAACTGTGGGTACATGGGTCAATAAAAAGTAGGAATAATGGCATGAATTGCAGGAAAATATAAAATATTCACAAAAGTGATCAGCTGGTTTTTATAAAAAAATTTGTTGTACCTTATGAAAGGGGGCCTCTGCAATGTATGCATCATTCAAGCTTTTCTAATTTCAAATACGACTTTATCTTCCCAAACATAAATATTGTCAATCCCTTGAAAAAAGAAAATCCCGACAATATTTCCTGTCAGCAAAGAAAAATGTTACAAGATTTTGAGGATACCTATAGCTCTAGTAAAATAACATGAAATAATAGTTGGAAATCATATCCATTGATACATTTATATAAAAATCATACTGTATTTCCCTGTTTAAAATCTGACAATGTAGATTTTTTGAAGTCCCTTCAACTTTGATTCTAAGAGGTGATTGATTGTAATGCCTGGGTTGTAGGGCTTTAATTTTAAAGATAAAGGCTTTCAAGCCCTACACCTTAAACAAAGAATGTTTTTGTTGAAATGAATATACTGTATTCAGTAAGAGGACTTTGCAGAAGAACTAAAACACAGTACTTGGTTGGTGCGCAAACCAACTGGGGATTTTCTCCCCTCTAGCACTGACCTTTCTTTTCAATCAACAAGGTTTGTCAAACAGGACAATAATGTACAACGCGTTCAATCTCTGCAGAAAAACACAAGAGTGTTCCAGAGATGGACTTGAGATTTTGAACACAACGCTCAAATCAAAGATTTTCCAAAAAGTTTGAATCCCAAATAACCATGCATATGCATGAACTTGAGGACTTTCAAAATTCTAACTGTGTGTGTTGTGCCAATTTTTGGGGGCTTTACGCAATTTTGTCTCCTAATTTTGGCAAGGTTTCTTAGCAGGAAGTACCCAGGTGGCAGGAATTTTCTTGGTTCACAAAACACCACAGGTGGTGACAGCTGCTGACAAGGTTTTGAAAACTAATCTTGCTGTTTTTAATAAATTTTGTGTATGTTTTTCCTGGTGACTGGGTGGTTTCGACAATTAGACAAATACTGGTAGTAAAATACCATCCCCAAGAGATTGGCTTTCTGGGGAAGTCAAAAAATTGGAACAGCTCTGAGTTGTCTAGAGCTCAAAGACAAATTGTTTCTTGGGAAAGGAGATATGTTTCTCTGTCCATTTCACCAGCAGCTGGTTGTATTTTTGTTCTGTTCCAAGATAGTTAAATGACCCCAGTTTGAATTTAGTGAAGGGGGATTTCTTCCTTCTAAAGTGTGTGCCAATTTTCACAATTGCTCATATTGCCCCAGTTCCAGGGATTTTCCCTTCTGCTCCCTGGTTTTTTTGATGAGCCAATTTAATTTCAAGGCAACATCTTATTTTTCTTTTCAAGGCGGAAGCTTTTTTCTGTCAGAAAATTCCCCAAATGTGTTTTGGATCCTCTTGAAATCTATATACAGTTGACCGCCACACAATGGACCTCCCACACAACAGATTTTTACACAAGAGACTGCCTCTGGAGTCTGGAGGCAATTTTCCCTCTTATGGAATGGACCAACACTAAAGCTTCATAACCGACTTCTCTTGGTTTAAAATTAATGGTAAAAAGTAAAAATTTCAATTTTTGATAATTGAAGTTGAATAACAGACTTTTCACACATTAAACTAGTCTGTTGCAAAAATTAAGTCCATTGTGCAGGGGTTGACTGCAAAACAAGAGTTCATTACATATGCCAGGACTTGCTGAATTTGTGTCAGAACTCATAATTTCATAAAGTGATGGTCAATCTTCTCCTGGTTTCCATGGACCTATTTCACAAAGAGTCTGCATGACCAGTTTTACCCATATAGATGCATTTTTATTATTTTGTCAAATTTACAAAAGTGTAAGAGTTTGTGGAGAGAATGCAATAACCAAGTGAAGGTTTATTTCCTTACTTTGAACTTACATTTTGATGAAAAAGCAGTCTTCACACAACCTTCATTGTAAAAGGATTGCTAGTCTGCTCACAATCCACATTCTTTTTCATCTTTACATATTGTATGTCCTTCTGAATTTAGTCAGTTAGTCATAAAATTACTCAATAAGTTGTTTTGAAAAAAAAAAACTGAGAGCAATATATTCAAGGTGCCCCTTTGAAAATAGATAAGATTCTTGACCACAAAGTGGCTGATAGCCCATTTGTAATTTTTGTCCACAAATGCCTCATCACCCATTGTTTTTGTTGGGTTCCATTATTGATGTCCAACTCCAACACAGTGTTCAACAGTCAGCATGTCTGCTTCAAACACTGCAGGTCCTTCATTCAAATCCAAGCATAGTTTCTTNTCTCTCTCTCTCTCTTCCGATGAATATCAAAATCCTCAAGTGTGAACCTTAGTTGCAGAATATACGCAAAAAGCTGCTCTTTTCCATCAACATCCCGACCAAAAAAAAAAAAAAAAAAAAAAAAAGCAATTTCAAAACCAGACATTCAAACGAAAAAAAAAAACTTTTGGGTAACACAAGCTTTCCCATCATCATCAGCACGCTGGAACTTTTTGGGGAGAGTAAAACATTCACCTGGCACTTATTTCAGCAATTTTGCAACTCTCACGAAAAAAAAAATTCTTAAAAAACCTGGCTGGAATGAAATCGGAAGGAAAAACGAACCAGACGCAAAGAAAACATGGCCCAGCACCCAAAAAAACAAATATGTATCAAGGGAAAATTCGAAATTATGAGTTCTTTTCTGTACAACCCCGAAAAATTTCCACCGGAAGCAAGGAAAGAGAAATAAAATCACGACGTCGGAAGCATCGGAGCTGATCTGTCATTCGTCTTCGTCTTCCTGAGCTTCACAGTGGCAAATATATTATCCCTGCAAGAATAACCCAAGAAAAAGAAAAGAAAACAAAACAAAAAACGCATTTCTTACTTGATATATATAGACACGGAGAAAAAATAAAATTACAAGCACAAATTTTTCTTCTAGGGAAGCAAAAATGATAAAACAAACTACGATCAATCAAGCATGAGCAAGCACCCAATTTTTTTTCTTTTTTTTAAGTAACTTGCAACTTGCACAAAAAAAGCCACGCACTACAACAGCGGCCAAAAAAATGCACTGTCAATTGAGCAACTTATTTCTTTTCTTTCTTTTTTTCAACACCACAGCACACAAGTTTCCCAACAAAAGAATATTTTC